TAATAGCAAATAACATCTTCAGTAAGTCTGACCCCTATTTCCCCACTCCTTTGACCTTTCACCATCAAAATTTATTTTATCTATATTAGAAAAAGTCTGATTCAGACAAAAGATTTCCACCCCTGCATAACAATAAAATGAGTTAAAAAGATGGATTCTAATGTTTTTTCTGTATTACATTAAAATTTTTGTGATTAATTTAAAGTTATACATTTACAAGTATTTTTAAAAGAAGTAAAATTTTCATAAAGTATGTTTTTGAGGTTAATCATAATTTCTTAAAAATAATATTTCACAAAATATCTTTGGGAAATGGATGATAGCATTAATGCCCCTTATACACAAGCTACTAGGCCAAATTTTGTTTGTTAATCTTTACCCCATCCCAAGATATGATATGAAAATACCTCTCTATTATTTTCTTTTAGATATATTATGTTTTTATATGATGACTCTTCTTAAACACTTAACCAAGTTTATTTTAAACATATAAATGTTGTACAATTTTAATAATTATACAACATTTATACTGTATGATAATAAAATTATAATCACTAAAGTACAAAGATGAAAACATTATTAGCTATTCAACTAAGTGAATCAAATGCCCTGTATTTTGGTTCAAATCTATTTTTTTTAAATCTAAACCCCCTACAATTTGGCAACATTTTTGGTTTATAGCGATTAGAAAATATTCAGTTAGATAAAAGAAATGTAGTTAATCAGTTCATAGTTTTAATAAAAATGCAAACTATTGTAAGATGAATAAAATTACTTTTGAATGTTTTACTAGATCCAGATGACTATTTATAATCTTTATATATTTGATAAAAATGGTATGTGCATTTTTTATCGCGAATGGAATAGAAAAAGGCAGTTTGGTATGGCAAGAGATGAAGTAAGTGTTATTGATGCAGAATTTGAATTAAAATTTTTTAAACGATTACAATAACAACCAATTTTTGCTTATTTATAATATAGGAATTCAAATTGATGTATGGTATGATCTTTTCTATCAAGTCTTTTGTTGCTAAAATATCACCAAATGATTGGTAAATATTAAAAATAATTGTTTTGCATTATATAATCTAATCAGAAATATTAGACTTATATATAAATGTACTGTACAATAAAATACAACAATACAGTAATAATAATTAACATTTTATTTTACATATTAATCTTACAATATCTCATTTTTTGTTTAGTAAAGATGGTTTCTTGAATTTTCGTACAAGCAAGTATAAATTAAACTTTTATGAAACACCTTCCGGATTGAAATTTGTATTGAACACCGACGTTGCCGCGGGAAATGTTCGAGAATTACTGCACGAGTTATATCGTCAGGTAATCTATGGTTTAAAAAAAAATGAAATGAATAATTGTTTTTAACTAAATTTTTTTTCCTGCAGATTTATGTTGAATATGTAATAAAAAATCCAGAATCGCAGTTTGGTCAACCCATTACAAGTGAATTATTCTGCGAACGTTTAGATGACTTCATAAAAAATTCTCCTATGTTTAGTACAAGGGTAATGTAATGATATGTAATCTTATAACATTTGTATATACATAAATACAATTTTTGTAATTCCAAATTCATTCCATTCATAATACTTACAAAGATAGCAATTGTAAATACTGTAAAAAAAAATTTTTTTTTGCCAATTGTGAAACGTCATCTCTAAAATATTATATAATAAATACTGTTAATCCATATAAAAAGTTATTTTGGTAAATCTAAAGACAGTAAGACGTTAACTAGAATTCTTTTTATTAACAAAAACCAGCCCAGTTATATTTTTGTTCAGCAATGTATATAAAAAGCTGCAGTATGTACTAAATATGCAATATATTTACATAAATTTTTCACAATGCCATAATTTAACATTCAAAATTATTTAAATTTACAGAATTTTTTAGCTTGAATTGCATTATTAATTAATACACATATCTGTACAGAATGTTTGGATATTATTACTAATAGACTAGGATGCAGGCATTTCCGTTGCACCAGAAGACTTTGTCTTTGGTTTATTTATAAATATTTTAATAGCACCACTGAAATCTGCACTGGCAATTACATAACAGCCATCGGTTGTACTACAGTGCTGTTCGTTTTGGTCCAACTGACAAGAAATCAGATGAGGATGCGGAGCAAAAACGGCAGTCGTTACTACTGCATTGTGAGCTGAAATAGAAATTTGTGTTAATAACGAAGTTTCAAATGTTGAAAAAATACTTTCGTTTACCTTTAATTCCTTCCCAGTAATCATTACGATCTCTCCTGGCTGAGGAAAACTTTGAATAATCATGATGAGTTTTCCAGATGTATATAAATTGATTTTCAGAACCACTTATGACATATTTACCATCATGACTGAAATAAATTTTGTTTTACATTATTGTATCAGGTGAATAAATGGCTAATAACTCTAAATTATTCTTTAAATTACCTAAAACTTGCTCTGATTTGACTGCTAACATTGACGTAACCTTTATATTTACAAGACAGAGTGAGACCACACAGGTCGTACAATCTGATACGAGAATCATTAGAAGTGACTAGAATCTAATAAATAAAAAACATTTGCATACATTTAAAATTAGCAATAATACTTTATAAAATTTCTCAGATTTTTACCTTGTCTTCTCCTGGCATGGGTTCGATTCCACTAATTTTTCGACCCTGTGCATTTTTTCCTCTAGTGGAACGTACGTGGATTTGTGTGTAATATTTTAATTGCTGTAAAAAAAATTTATTTTTATTAATAACAATTTTTAATACAAGATGAAGAGTTTAAGAAAACAAATAATTTTTGTCTTACTTCGGTATAATAGAAAATACATCGTCCATCATAAGAACCTATTACGGCAAATTTGCCATTTTGACAAAAACTGACCGTTGTAATAAGCTTTGTCTGCCCATCAAGCTCGTTCCACAGAGCAACTTTCTTATCTGGTATATTCCATAGTCTCAGTTTTCCATCCAAGGACCCGCTTAAAAAATAACGATCATCCTGTAATATATTTGTCAAAATATTTATTGTATGTATTACATGCATTAAATATGTTAGAAGTCATTGACTTTTCATGAAATGATTATATTAATTACATTCAACAAATAAATAAATCAATGCACATTTTTACATCAATCAGAACCCTTATCTTAACAAGTTTGATGTCATTTGAATTTTTTATTGTAAAAATTATCTAAAGAATATCAAATTTACACTAAAATATACAGTACACAATAAAAATATGTACTATACTGAACAGATTCAAGATTTACATATTTATGTGGATTATTTAACAATTGAATATTTACATTACCTAAGTGAGGCATTAAATTAATAAAGAAAATCATCTACCAATAAGATCAAGATGTAATCATCAAATATTTAGAAATGATTATAAATGGCCCCAATTTTGGCTTGGTCAATGATATACAGTATTGTATGTACAAAATTTTTTGCAAGTTGTCAAATGTATGTACAGTACTTAAGACCATACTGTATTGCAGATGCATAAGAGTATAAAGTGGATTGATTACTCACTTTAGACCAAAATCAAACCAACTATATTAGATATTATCCTGTAAAAACATATGTAGAAAGTATGTCAGCTATTTCTTGCAGACAATAATCATTGAAAGAAAAAGTTTCATTATATTTATGACCATATATGTACAAAGTCATTATTGCAGATAAGGTACAGGGGTCGGACAAAAATATGGAAACTCCTCATGAAATGCATAGTTGAATGTAAATGTTGATTCTAGCCAAGCCTCTAGGTTGTGCTGTTGTATTTGACTACTAACAACACCTGTGCAATCTCTCAATACGTTGCATATGTCAGTCATTGTTAGAACTGTGTTCTGTGTAGGTGGGAGTGCACAATGTCAGAGCTAAGTGAATTCGAATGTGGGCAAATTGTTGGTGCTCTTATGGTGGATGCTTCCGTAACCAAGGTGGCTGAAGTGTTTGGTGTGTCAAGAGGCACCATATCAAAGATTTATACTGCATACAGAACAAGCGGAAAAACATTATCTGCTAAGTCACAACATGGATAAAAGTGTGTAATTGAGTGATCATGACAGACTGTCATTGAAGAGGATTGTGACAAAAAATAAGAAGACTACAGCTGAAAAAGTCACTGCCGAACTGAATATGGAGCTCACAAACCCTGTCAGTGCCAAAACAGTTCGAAGGGAGCTCCATAAGCAGGGAATTTCAGGGCAAGTTGCAATTCCAAAATTATTAATCAGTGATGCAAATGCACATAAGAGGAAAATGTGGTGCCGAAGCCATAAAACCTGGACTATGGAGCAATGGAAAAGAGTCATTTGGTCGGATGAGCCTTGTTTTACACTGTTTCCAACCTGTGGCCAAGTTTACATCTGGCAAACACCGTCCCAAGCCTACAATGCAGACTGCTTGTTGCCAAGAGTGAAACATGGTGGGGGTTTGGTGATGATTTGAGGAGATATATCATGGTATTCCATGGGTCCCATGATTACTCTGCAAGGTCATATTACTGCCAAAGATTATGTAACCATTTTGGGCAATTGTGCCCATCCCATGGTGCAATGTTTGCTCCCCAATGGTAATGCTGTGTTCCAAGACAACAGGGCACCTGTTCACACAGTCCAAGACTGGTTTTGTCAGCATGAGAGTGATTTGGCGCATCTCCTTTGGCCACACAGTCACTAGACATCAATACTATTGAGCCTTTGTAGTCTACTATGGAGACAGGTGCGTGATCACTATCCAACTCCATCATCGTTACCTGAACTTGCCACTATTTTGCAGGAGGAATGGTACAAGTTTCCCTTAAAACCATACAGGACCTGTATTTATCAATTCCGAGAAGACTGCCAACGGCTTTCCTACACTGTATTAGGGCTTAGTAATAGGTTAGGTTTTTTGGTGTTTCCATATTTTTGTCCAATCCCTGTATAAATGCTCTTATATTTTGTAAGTCCATCCTTATATGAGCTGTTCACATGCCAAATCGACTAACTACATTTGTAAATCCTTAATATGATCGTTATTATTTTCAAAGTATCAACTCTAAACCTTTAGATTTCTGGTACAGTTTGAATAAAGACTTAGAGGTGATACTTATTTGTACCAGTATTTTCTCTAGAAAGTGATATTATTTTCAAATTTTTTGCATAACTAATTTAAATACATAGAGTGGATGTCATCCCAACAATTTTACTGATTTAAGAGAAAAATTCACATAAAAAGGCATTAACCCTTTGCTTCTGAAAGTATCAATCAGTAGTTACCTCCTATTGTTAAGCCAAACTATGAGGGTAACGATTCGTCGTTACCCTAGTAAATATCAATTTTTATAACATTTATCGACAACAGATGTCAGCACTTGATGGCACTGTCTTGTTTATCATCTGTTTTACATATTTTTCTCCAGGTGGCGTTTTGTTGACTTAAAAAATTTTAATTAGTGCTTTTTTTTCTTGATTTATTTATTTTCTGATATTATTTCATGAATATGCTATAAATGAAATAAAAAATTATCACCATAATAAGTTTATTTAGCTATAATAAGCCAATTTGTTATAAATACGGTCGACTCCCCTATAACACGGGTTCTTATAGTTCGGATTCCTATATGATGGTAAAAAAAACTCCTATAATTCGGTAAAATGTCATCAGGTGGCCGAACTACTTTCTGCCGTCCAGCGCCATGCTACGGAGAGTTTAGGCAAGTAAGTTGAGTTTACTATCATCTGTACAGTATGTAAATTAGGTACCGTAAGTCTAATACAGCACTAATTTTATACATTTCTTGTGAAAGAATCATTTCTTATTCAACGGCCATAAAATTTATTTACATTAATTATGTCTCCAAAGTTCAACGAAGTTTTCGTAGAAAAATAACATCAGAAATCGCGGCTGCCATTTGATGCGCTGCTCCGCGACGAAAACAAGCTTAAGCAATGGCGACGTCGAATGGTGCACACTCGGTAAGTAATCCTACAATTTTTTGTTTATAGCATAGTTTATACAGATTATTCCCAAAAAAATATATGTATTTTGGAAATGTTGAGTTGAATTAGTCTAGGAATCGATTAATTTTATGGAAGAAAACCTTTCAAACAGCCGTAGTCCGTAAACTGCACACGTGCAGGGCTGTGATTGGCAAGAACTCATACCAAATGGATTCATAAAGAACGGAACATATCTACCGTGTTATGGGGGGGGTCGACTGTACAGTGGTACCTCAGGATACGAAATTAATCCGTTCCGAAACTGAGATCGTATCATAAAAAATGTCGTAAGGTGAATCATTTTTTCCTGTATGATTACATGTAAAACTAAATAATTCATTCCAACATGAAAAAAACACTCAAATTAAAGCTAAGTAGCACATTAAAAAATAATAACTATAGTAAGGAAAACACTGAAAAATGCATTTTGTAGTTGAAAATGTATAAATAACCATAATAGAATAATAATTGATAAAAAAAAAATGTACTTTTATTTGCACTTTACCTTTGAGGATATACGATGGTGGAGGTGTAAACTAGTGGCGGAAGAGAGGGAGAAGATTTTTATTCACTGCTTTTTGTTTTCTTTCCTTCACTTCCACCAGCACTTTCACTGGATAGAGGTCACTTGGTAAAATATCTATCCAAAGAGGTGGTTTGGCTTTGCCTACTTTTAAAATGTTTCTAAAATGATTTAGGCAAATGTCATTTTCTGAGCAGCAATACGGCCAGTGTGAATCTTTTCAATAAAATCAGTCACTTTCTGATAATACCTCAAGATTCCTTTTATCAAGCAAGATCCTTCCACGACGAAGCAAACACGTGAACTGAGACTAATGAACAGAAAGCGCTGCGAACTAATGTAACATCTAGGGCAGGGGTGTCCAACCCGCGGCCCGCGGGCCGCATGCGGCCCAAAACAAGTTCCAATGCGGCCCAATAAACGTGTAAACAAAACCGACAAATTCTTTTATTTTTTTATTTATTTATTTCAACGGCATAAACTCAAAAAAAAAAAAAATTCACAAAGCTGTAAACTTTTATACATATTNTTGATTTTTCCAATTAACATCCACTATAATTCCAACCCATTAGTTTGCATCAACCGGGGACCTCACAGGGTTGACCGTACATTGTTTAATTTACACCTTCATGGTGGATTTATTTTACACATTTTTTTTTTTCTCATTACTAAAATATTTTTAAATGTATATGGTGAGAGATTCAGACCTTATCTGTGACCTTATATCTACTAATAAGAATCTATTCAAAATGTGACTTACTCTTGGATGAAATGCTATGGCGGTGACAAAATCTATGTGCTGAAAACAGCAAAGGCACTCTCTTCTCGAAATATGCCACAGTCTCACTGTCTTATCCATCGATGAAGATAAAATGAAATAATTCTAAATATAAAAATTACTTTTGGTTAATTGTTTCATTATAATAACTAAATAATTACAATTTTGTTTTATTATAACCAGTTAAGGATTTTTCTTTGTTATATATTTAATAAAATTGATTTATAAAATTACCAAATATTAAAACTGTTCTTTGAATGTATAACCAACACTTACTTTAGACCATGATATATCTAAGAGATCTGCCGTATGTCCTTCATAGGTACAGAATGGTTTTGGCATAAAAGGGCCTTTCATATCTTCGGATGCTTCTGCATTTTCCTAATTAATATAGGTTATTAATAAATCATTTTGATAAAATGAATTCATTGGTTAAAAAAAAAAAAATAGTACTTAGAATTTCAAAGTTTCTTTGGATTACTTACACTTTTAGCATGTTCATCATTTTGTTGCATACCAATGTTTTCTTGTGAAGGGGTTGGAGAAACTTTACCTGAAAAACATAAATTTAATCCTCTATAATTATTAATAAAAACTTATTACAACAAAAATTGAAACAATAACTTTTCCACACTACAATATATCTTAATATATTTTATTAAAATTTAAATTTAATTAATTTTTTTTTTCAGCAACTGAATACAGTAGAATCCACTTATTGTAATCATGGATATTATCATCAGTTGTTTAATATTATCAAAATTAGCAGTCTTAAAACATATAAGTTAAAATACACTTATTAAACTTCATTCATTGTAATCAGAATTATTTCATTATTTTAAAATAAATAGGTATTTTTAAGCTCTCTGCCTTAACACACAGTTAATTGATAACAGCTGTACATAATTATCAGTTTTAAACAATGTTTTAATCATTATTTGATCTTAATACAGTAGATGAAATAAGAAATATTATTTATTAATTAATTAATAATTTAAAAAAAGAAATATTATTGATTATTTAGGGCTCTAGCAGGCAAACAGTATTGGATGAATTACTATTAACAATAATAATTATAATTAATAAATCTTTAAGTTATATATTTTATTTGTTTTACTGACCTTTTAATATTAGAGTAAATAAAACCACAATTTGCACTAACAGTAATCTTACCCTGCTTAATGTTATAAATAGAAGTCACAAAGTGATTATATTAAGTGGATTCTTCTATATTTATTATACAATCACTACATATTAAAAAATGTTCATTATCTAATTGATGAAACAAATGTATAGATAGGGATAGATTCTCATCAGAATACATGTTATTTTCAAAATATTTATTGAATTTAACTTCTAATATTGATATAACATGCAATGCTGAAATTGAAAATAATTTTACTTATACTGAACAAAATGAATAAAACTTTTCTGTTCTATATTAATTCATAATTAATATAATTAGAAATAAATATAGATCAAAGTATGTATACTGTGCAGTTAGTGTATGGTTTGGCAAAAGTTTTATACAAAATGTTGAATGCATTTGACAAAAATTTTGGAAAACTTTTACAATTTGTTTTCAATATTAATTACTTTTAATGCCGAAAAAAATCCATACTTTTAATTGTGTTTCATTCTTTCAAAATTATAACTGGGAAGTATAATACAATATTGGATAAATGCAAAAGTTCTTCAGGTTTTTACAAGATGAATACTTGATGATATCAAACTGTAAATATTCTTGTCACTTTTTGAATACTTTTAGCTTTCATTTCCCTGAAGATAATGGAGATGATAACAATATCAATTTTGAAGCATATCTTGTTATTCAAGTTTAGTGAAGTAAGTAGTATGACTGGATCAAATATAATACATGCTTGATTTACAGAGTTGAGCATTGATGAAAACTTTATGAAGTTATTTAAACAATGTGGCCCATCCTTTGTAAGCATTGCAATTTCCATCTATAAAATACTATTTTACTATTTTCAAAATAAAAATATTTCTTTAACAAGAAAATAAAAGCAGGTTTGATAAATTAAGCAATTTTAATAAAAAAGAGTATAAGACTATTTAATGAACTTCATATGATGGTAAATCAATATACTTATTCAGTAAATTGCAAAGTTTGTCCGTCCTACTAATTCTTGTGATAATGTGCCAAATAAACAGAAGATGTTTGAATAAAAAAATGTATGATGAAACATTGTTAAAAATGCTTAATGTCACTAAAATTGATTTGAGAATTTACATTGTTTTATATTTTTTTAATTTTTGTATATTTGAAATAAAAATCCAATGTGATAAATAAATTCTTCTTGACAATCTGACCAGTTTTCCATTTCATAATTTCCAAGATTCCCAATGCTTAGTGGTATGCAAACAAAATAATAATAATGGATGTACAGTACCATAAGAAAATTTGGATTCTGCATTAGTGTGGTGCTTAAAATAGGGAAAAAATAAATTGAATTACTTTTTTGTGGTCCTATCCTCCAGAATTATTCCAACTGGTCTCAAATTACTACAGAAAAAATTTTAACTTGATACATTAATATTTAGATATCGCTTGATGATCACAAAGTTTATAAAAAGAGCAATTTATGACAAATGAAAACATACAAACCTGTTTTAGTAAACCAGACTTGTTTCACTTTTTTTAGACAATTACAGACAAATTAGTCATGTACACTCTACAATATTCAAAAACTTGATGGATTACAAACCAAAAATGCAACAAAAAGATTTTTAAATGTCACAATTCACAAAATTTGAAATTTTCAGTACAATGTTCAATGCAACTTTATCAATTTATTTTGATAGAGGCAGAGAGTGTCTCCTTCTTGCTGTCTGGATAAGCCTGTTGAACAACTTGCAACAAATACTGAAGTTGTAATTCATCATGAGTCATTAGGCCACTGAATTCCTGTGACTATGCATTCTACGTGGTCATTAACAACTTTAATGGCATGTACTGAGTCTGCAGCCTTCTGGTAGTCCTCTCTATCTTTTCACAGGTCAGGATCTACAGTGAGAAATGTATCTAGAAGTTCCATTAATTCAAACAGAGTCCATGACTTCTCAGATATAAAGTCCTTAAGATTTTTTCCCATAAATGTGTCCAGGTCAACAGTGATTCATTTAGTGTGACCCTGTTCAGTGTCGTCATCATTTTGCATTGCTGTAATCATTAGCCTCTTTGTAGCAGAACTTACATGGTTGTCGAAAAAAGCTAAAGCAACCAAATCTGGTGACAAATACCATAAGTGTTTAGAAAATTTGAGAGATGATGCCTTGGATATTGTCATGTTGATTTCCGAGTATTCAAGAAGTGATTTCAGAAGATGAAGGTCATTGTTAGGAGAACTGGCTACCAATGGAACTGAAATCCTGAGTTTCAAGTACACATGTGCAGCAAAGACACACATCCTGTTCTTTTTTTGTTAAGTGGAATTGGCCCTTAAACAACCCTTAAACAACACCTTCAAACTGTAAGTTATCTTTGATAGCCAGCGTGCATGGTACATGGCTCCAGGTGCTGGCCTCAACCAGAAACAGGGGAAAACATTTGCCACAAGACTTGATGATGTCAGTGAAATAATGATCACAAGTCGTGACAGAAATTAATTTTGTGGGAATGTCATGTAACTAATGTGTGATTAATTTAATAGTTTATTTATTGAGATGACCAACTACAGTTTTGCAAACTGTTGCACTAAAATGTATATATTGTGGTTCAAGCTTGTGATTGGCATATGCTTATGCTCATCCTTACTATTTGGAACCAATAAAACTTCAGTGACATTAAGCTACCAGTAAATATTCACCAATAGAGTAGATTTTTGGCACAAATTTTTCTATACATATTTGAACAAAATTAGAGGGTAGAGATTCACATTTACAAATTGTGAAAATAAGCCCACACTATTCTGCATTGAGGCCTTTGGTGATATCACGGCATTCAATGTTTAGTTTTAAATAAAAATATAATTATATTTATCTGTATCCTTCCTCCAGCATTTTTTGATTTAAAAAAATTTTTATTTACATGTAACTGTACAGTGCTGTGAGACTAAGGCACCATTGTTTGATGAACACACGAAATAAAACTTAGTGAAAAAGTCTTATTTATGGATCAAATTTCATTGTTTTAGTTTTTAAGTTATTTTAATTATACTGAATAATTTTAAATGTATAAATATGTAATGATATTTAATAAATTGTTAAAAATTTTATTACCTTCCGCATTGTATCTTTGTCTCATATCGTCAAAGTAAGAATAAGAATCACGCAAAACCCAAATTCTCAGAATGTGATCTTGACCAGCAGAAGCCTATTTAAATGATCAATTAGTGATTCTTTAAATACATTAACAAATTACTTTAAACTGAAGACTAACATTAAAAAGTTTTTTAATCTTAAGAAAGACTAACTTACTAGCAATCTCCCACAAGATGAAAATTTCATGGTCCATATAGCACCCTGAATATGAAAACATTTTGAAATAAGATTATTCAATATTGAATTTATAAAGTAAATTTACTAAGTTACAAGATAAATCTTATATTACCGAATGTTCTCCAGTTAATTCTTGTAAAACTTTAATTCCTTCAAATTCATATGGTCCTTTGTGACTTCCGGAAGCCTTTATTTTTACGGATGGTCGTGCGTCAGGTGACATAGTCTCTTCTTCACTAGTGTCGATGTCTTCGCTGTGCCGCGAATGCTTCACTGTAGGAAAATATTTAACCACATAATTAAAAATTGTTATAAAATATATTTATTTATTTAAAGATGGAACAAATTATGTTAAAGTTATTAATGTATTTTACACATTTACCTTCGTCAGCAACATCTTTCAATTTATTTACTGTTTTTTCAACTGTTTTCTCTATTTTTTTCCTTATCCATTTGCTAAAAAGCAATAAATATACTTTAATAAATATATAAAATTACTAAATGATTTTTCATTTTGCCTGTCAGTATTTATAATTAAAAATTAAAACAAAAATATGCAAAACATATTACAAGTCAAATTCCACTTAAAAGAAATTAAAAAATTTTTGAAATGCTAGATAATAATAAGCTCTATAAGCGGCATAAATAAATTTAATAATAATGATTATTTATATTTATAAAAATTTATTTAAAGGATATTTGCACTTACAGAATGACAAAATTATAATTAGTTTTCTTTGATGCTATTGCTATTATGAAAACTATTCATAAGAAAATTTTCAAATTTCATAAATTTATAAAGAATATAACAACAGAAAAGATTTAATAAAAAAAAATCACAAAATAAAGTGTGTTTTCAAATTGTATAAATTCTGATCCTATTTTCTAAACTATTAGAAATAAAACTTCTTTTTTTCTGAAAGTCAAATTTTATTAGCATAACAGGAATGTTCTCAGCTTATTTTAAGCCATCTTCAGCTTATATGTACAAGTGGTCAAAAATAAATACCCATTATAAACTTATTATAAATTAAATAGTATCTAAACTGCTTGATTTATAATGAAACAGTCTTGTTTATTCATTACAATAATTACACTATGGTTACAAACTTTTGATATATTTTGATACAGTTATTCAGTTTTAAACAGTTTTAACTAAGTTTCAGAAAATTTCAGTTTCTTACTTATTTTATTTAAACTTATACATATTACATAGCAGAATTACAAAATGGCATTGTCTATCATAGTTTAATAGGTGTTGCCCAAGATATTGCTAATATGGCATGTAATGAATATCTTCAGGTTTGCTAAGGTATACAGTACAATGTATAGAACTACAGGGTATCTGGAAAGTTACTGTGCAGTGAGAAATTTGTAATGACATTAAAGGTTGTATAAGTACAGTATTGCTTATGACATATTTGATCTATGGTAAGAATTGAAGCTTAAATTTGATATGTGCATTCAAATATTCTATACCCGATGTAACCTAAAGATGGCTTTCAACAAACCATAAACATTAGTTATGGGTTTTTAAAACTCAACAATAAAAATTTACTTTAAAATTCAGCAATAAACTTTATAAACTTTTTGAAAAATTTATAAAAGAATTGTTTTCAGAACAAAAAACAACCAGAAATTTCTAATTTTTAGACAGTGATTATTTGATACATAGCTTACTTAGATAATAAACTTATACAGTATATTCAATGTTTTATAATTGAGATTTTGGGAAAGAAATCTTTCTGAGACTTATATTATTCCTACATAAATGATATTTACAGAGTCAAGAACACGTGATAATATAAAAGGAGATGGAATTGAAGCAGAGTTTACCATGTTCCAAATGTAATTTTAAAGCTTTGTTTATATTTACATGTAAACATAAATATATCTGCAATGAAAGACAAATGTAGAAACATGTGGAAAAGTATGTGCAAACATATAAATATTTGTTTATATTTTTCATTGCCTAATTTTATTTAATTTCCTAATTCCCTAAGTCCATTCATTTTCTGATTTTTTATTAAATTAGAGAATTAAGGAACCTTTAGAGAACTTTTTAATTCAATACCAGGCTGTTTTTGAATATAATCACTGTCAAACAAAATGTATCCCACTAGAAAAATTCATGGTAAACACAACTCCCAACATTTCATTACTATGTCTTATTACAGTACAGCATCGATTATCAGACTCAATTGGGAACTCAGGTTGGTCGGATAACCGAAAAGAATGAAAAAAAATACATTATTAGTATAGTGTATTAGTATATCGCTATTAACCAACTTCGCGTTGAATTTTCATCGATGTTAAGCCTAATAAATTTTTTTTTTAAATAATAATCGTTGCTATTATATCGTTAAAAATTATTTTTAAATTATTTTATTGCTCACAAAACAAACAACTACTCATAATTAGAAAATTAAGTCTCGTTTAAATACTGGCCTCCCTTCAATGGTCGAAGCAATGTTGCCAGCTAAAACACGCAAAAATTTAACAAAAATAATATTAAAGTTGCCAAGACATAGCCAAATATTGTAGCACCACATCACTAGCGGACATTTGAAATTTGCCAACTAGAATGGTCAGTTAACTGATGTGACGGGGGTCGGATAATTGATGCTCTACTGTACTTGAAAGAACATTTCAATGAAAAAATATTATTTTCACTTTTAATAAAACCTAGTAGATAAGGTTTTTTGGATATAATTTCTGAATGGTTTCTTTAATTTCAAATCTGATTGTATTGTTGGATTCAGCATTTAAAATCATTTAAGAGATGGTGGTATGGGCACATATTGTGATGACATGTTTTGCTTTATTTTTTACTCACACCCCTTCCTGAATATAACTCGTCATTACCACTGTCTCCACTTCCTCAGCTGTGCAATCATATGTACAATAAATGTCAGTTAACAACAGAATATTCCAAAATAAATGAATTATTTTGTATATGCAAACACTCTGATGACCTCTCATGTCAGTATTCATCAACAACCTTCCCCATCTCAATGTCATACAATTAATGCATGTTGCCTAAAGGTACTAATTAAAGGTAAAGCTCCAGGCTTACCATATATTAGATATATTGTAATCCTAGCATGGCTTTTCTGAGAAATACTGTATATATTTTTACAGAATTATCAGTGTAGTTTGTTCATTACAAATTTTAATATATATCTGCTTATTATGTAACATAATTTGATAAATAATTCTAAAAAGATGTTAACTCATATTTTGTTATAATAAAGTGATCTGATCTAATCTAATTATTAAGATTAATTGTAGATTGTACAAGTGAAAGACAGAGAGAAAAGTACTTTTGACCTAAAATATGCATTGCATGCCACATGAGAATTAATTTCAGAAGTCTGATATCCATAAAAAAAAATAATGGACCTTTAAAGAAAAGCTGAAAAACAGTCACCAGAACTCAAAAAAGGAAGAATTCATCTATCCGAATAAAGGTCTGCATATTCACAAATGAAATGCAGAAAAGTCCCCGCAGCAGATCCACAGAAGTGGCAAAAAGCTGAGAAAGAATGTTTCACTTGGCACAAATGTTTGCAAAAGTGACCATAAAACTGGTCACAATGCCAACCAAAAAGGTCTTACTCTGCTTTAGACCAGGAAAGTAAACTCCCTTCTTGGCCAGTAAATCATCATTTCTATTGCCAGTAATTCCCTCAAGTCCTGGCACTTGCAAAGGAAAAACTTGAATGTGGACAGCCAATTTATCAAAAGACAAGCAGTACTTTTGAACAAGTGCTGAAGTAACCTGACAATAATAAAGTACCTTTCAGGCAACCTGACTGTCAAGAACAACGTAGACAGTCACATTAAAAAGACATCTATGTAAAAATAGCACATACACACTAAATAATAGCTAATAGATTAGTCTGCAACACAATAAGGAACTTTCCTAGTAAGACACAATAGCATGTACAAAAGTCTCCCACAAATGCTAGCCATCAAGCCACTGCTGGTTCTGGATCCATCACCAAACTAAATCCCATGAATGAAAAGTCATTCTTACTCATATAACAATCAAAGTAATTAGTAAAGGAGACCAAGAAACACATTTTTTCCTATTCGTAAATGTAAAACTGATGACAAATGATCCATTAAATAAATAAGTAAGTTGATATTTGAAAATCAAAAGTGAAAAATAGTATTGTGATGAGTAAATAGTTACTCATTAGTTACTGAAAAACTCCTAAATGCTACAGTGTTTACATATATTTTCTTACATGTAATTTTTCTACCCTTCTGTTTTGTTCATATTTTCAGGGAGAAAAAATTATTTAGTAAATGAAATATGATGTAAAATAAGTAACTACAAAAACACATTTAAAATTATGTCACATATAGTGAATATAACATTATGAGATCAGTATACTATCTTAGATTATGTTCAATCAACTTTTATTCATTTATGCTAGCAAATAAATTTGTGTTTTTAATACTATCTTGCTTTTGTACAATTTGTTTAGCACTACTATAAGTTTCTATAGAAGATTTTTCAGTCAGAAATAATAATTATTATTTTGTTGCAAACATATATTTTGAAGTGTAATAAGTGAATCATGACACGGAAAAAGTCAATTATGCTTGAATCAATTCTGATAAAAAAAATTTTAGTTATATTGTAATCAATGCTTATTTTTTCTATATACTGTGTATATATGTATATATATATATATATATACACACAAGGTATGACAATTTAATTAAAATATACATTCAGAACTGTACACTATGGCTACTGTCACCTTCAAAATACTCTCTCCTTGTACATCTATACACTAACTTAAACAGGTTTTCCATTTCTGGACGCAGGACTGAACTCATTTTCTGGAATACTGTTGAGCAGCTGTCTCATATTCTGTTGGATATTTGTTGTATTAGAAAATCTTTGTCCTTTCAGTGCAGCTTTTAATTTTGGAAATAGCCAGAAATAACAGAGAGCTAAGTCAGGTAAATAGACAGGATGATCTAATTGGGTAATCACTTTTTTGGGGAAAAAATGTTTCACAGTGAGTGTACTATGACCTGGCCCATTGTGAAGATGAATGATCCATTTGTCAGGCCACAGTTTGGATCTTTTTCTTCAAACAAAATCTCAATCTCTGTAGTACTTCTAAATAGCATTGTTAGTTGACTATTTGTCCCTGTTCAATAAATTCTTGGTGGACCATTTCCTTGTAATCAAAAAAACACACCAGCATGGTCTTGAGTATGACATGGTAAACTTGGAAATATCCATTGCATGCTTTAATGTTTTGTTTCTGGGTCATACTATAATGTTTCAGTAGCACATTTGCCAATTTTCATGCAAAATTTAATATTAATATGTTGCTCTAAATTTTGTCACCCATTTTTATGCTAAAGAATGAACACAGATAACTATTACCTTCCCAATAGCAAATTAGCAACTAGCTCTGTCAGCTTGAAATTTACACACGTATTACGAGGCGTCCGGAAAGTAAGTACCGTTTCGTTTTACCGCCACCGCAGTGGTAGTATCGCAGTTCAGCATCTGTGCACACGTGTCTCTGGTTGATTGTCAGTCCAGTGACGCCATTAGAGCCAGATTGTGATGTTTTTCCATGTGTTAGTGAGCGTTCAAAATGTTTAAGACGATTGCCGATCCCGCCGACTGTGAAGTGCGTTCTGTAATACGGTTTTTGAACGCAAAGAATGTTAAGCCAGTTGAAATTCATCTTCAACTTGTAGAGATTTTTGCTGAAAATGTAATGAGTGATGGAATTGTGAGAAAGTGGATTAAACAATTCAATGCTGGATGCACCAATGTTCATGACGAAGGACGGACTGGCCAGCCTTCTGTTGTCAATGATGATTTGGTTGCAAAAGTGAATGAGAAAATTCTTGAAAACAGACGGTTCACAATAAGATTGCTTTGTGATGAGTTTCCACAAATTTCAAAAACTGTTTTGCATGATGTTGTCACAAATCAATGTTCAGCAGTGGCTGTCTTCACCGGCAGCATCTTTCTTTGAAGAGGGTATAGACAAGTTGGTTTCCCGATATGACAAATGTCTGAACAATGGTGGTAACTATGTAGAAAAATAGTTTCCAACATGCTCTTTCATGTAACAATAAATTTTGTTTTGAAAAAAGATTTTTTATGTGAGTTTTTCCAAAACGGTACTTACTTTCCGAACACGCCTCGTAGTTCAAACATGAATGCACATATCATTTCAATATAATTAGGTCATGGGCATCTAAGCAGCCATTCTGGGAATTAAATTATCATACCTAGTACCTAATTTTTAAAAAATAAATTTTGGATATTTTTTCATTCTATTTTGTGAATTTCCTTAAAAAAGCTTAGAGGAAAAAATTCCAAATATGATTAGGACTGAAAAAGAAGAATCAAGACAACCTTTCATATAACTTAAATAAAACAGTATCATTTACCAATATAAAAAAAACTTATCAATAAACTTTTAAAATTATATAATCAGGAATAAAGTTTTAATTAATTTTTTCTTTTGAAAATTATAGTTTAATGGTATTTAATTACATAGTATTCCTCAAAAACACCGAAAAGCCCGCGTACATCTCGGTCATGGATTTCCGTTCTTTAATTACATATTATCATAAATTAAATTATTCATATTTATAAGCATGCTTATTTATTTTATTATAATTAACTCTATATTCAGGCTACATGAATATTTAATTTCATGTTTCCATTATTAATGACAATTTTGTATTATTTTCCTGTAATTAACATTACCTTTTATCATAAAGGAAATGATCAAATTCTTGATAAAGCTGAAAAATTTTTCCTGTAAAAATGTATGCTTTTATTTATGAGAAATCAAGTTACATGAAAAAACTATTGCCTTATAAGGTTAAATTTTAGAAATTATTTTATTAAAAATACTTGTTGCTAAATTTGAAAAATGATATAAATTCATAAGAACAATGTGATTTTTGAAAATACACTTACTACAGAAGTTTCTCAAGCATAAAATCTATTTCGTAGATTGTATTCAATATATTTACAAATTATATACATTTATTTAATTGTACAAAAATGTTTTAAATTTTTGTTTTAGAAGTTATTTTAAATCTACAACACTTTTAGGACTAAAATCCACAGACTATTAAATGTGTAATGATTTGTTTTATGCCATTTGAATGTAGGTTCTATGCTGATGACAACTTAAAATTAAGTTGAAAACATCACATTTATAATAATAAATTTATTGTTATCTTAATTATAGTAATAGTTCTTTCCTAGAATGTTGGTACCAAAAGTTCTGGATTTTATTAATAAAATCTAATTTAAATTTTTTTTTCATAGCATAATTCCTTAAAATACCAAGCACTTTCAAGCTTTTTTTTATATAAGAAATATATAAAAAGCCTGATAAAGTGAACAAAAATAAAGTTATTAGCATGCAATTGAATAATAATATTGATTTATATTTCTTAGTGTTATGAGCAAAGAATTTGCAGTGAATAAGAAATAAATAATTCATAGTAGTAATTCATAAAATTATTTCTGGAAAGAAAAGAATGCAAGTATTCTTAGTCATTTCTTTGTTAGTAGTGTTTAATATATCCAAAAACAATTATTTAAATGAAAAGATAAATATTTTAAAAAGTAGTATGCACTAAATATATGAGATAATAGACTGTTAAAAGAATACTATATACAATACTTTAAAATAAGAATAAACTGATTTGCATTAGTGAATTAGCACACATGCATGATTAAAATATAACAAGCAAACAAGTTATTTGCATCCACTGTTCTTTTTCTCTCCTTTCATTATATGTAAAGAGAACAGAAAAAGTAGAATATAAAATAAATAAATATTTCTTATTCTGTGCTGAATGCTGAATTATGGAAGTGATTTGGAACTATAGTAAATTCTGTATTATATATATGAAGGTATAGGTAGTAAAAGATGGAAGATAATATTTTCTAAGAAACAGTATTTAATATACTGTTTGTGTCACCCCTGTTACAGTATAAATATTCTGATCTATACAACTAATTTATTTAATGAATTATGTCTTTGTCACCATTAAAAAGCAAAGAAAGAATCAGATTGAAACTGTGAAATAATAATTTTATAGTTTTTACAAGACTTAGTGAGGAGGAAATGCAAGTCAATAGAATCAATTTCTTTAAATGTAAGAAAAAAACATATTTATGTTAATCTACCAAATTAAATTTTTATAACTTTAAATAATTAATTTAACAATAAAACTTGTTGAATTGTATTTGTATGTCTAATGATTGACACAAAAAGTGTCAATCTGCAGGAATTTCATTCATAAAAACTCCAAACATTCAGAGGAATACTTTTTAGAAAATATGTAAAAAGTCTATCAGTAACTAATTACAAAATTTCTAATCAGACATCAATTAAGAATGTTCACCATAGCATTACAAAACATAAATTTAATGTACATGTTGTGATCAAATGAAAAGTTTACTTGGACAAGTGGACTCACAAGGAGAATGTTGCTATATATAAGTTGTGTAAAACTTAGTACTAACATATATTTAATAATTAAACATATGCTATTTACTTACCTAGGAGGATATATCTATCCCTGCTCAGGGATACCAGCATATTTCATCATAATGTAATGATATCACTGCTAATCTGCTTTACATCTTCACCCCATTTGTAAAATAGTTTGTGTTTTACTTTTATGAAAAAAATAGAAATATTAACCATAGAGATATATCTTCTTAGGTAAGTAAATAGCTTGTTTTTAATTACCAAATGAATGTTAGTACTAAGTATTACATGACTTGCAACATTCTCCTTAAGGCTAAAATTCCTAAAATCTGTACTAAATAAATGTTCAAGATTTGTATTTATCACTACCTGCAACAGAACAGTAATAGCATAGCTGGCTTATGACTTTACAAAGTCTACTCCCCACATGTAAACTTTTTATTTGGTCATTTTTTATTACTTTATAAAATTCAACATCCTATTTACTAATTATTACAAGAGGCAGTGCATCTATTTAGGATAGTTATTAATTTGTCATTATTAATTATATCAAAACTTTTATATCTAGTTTTACTATGAATCAAATAAACAAAATATTTCTGAAATTTTAATAGATTGAACTTAATAAATAAATAATAATTAGAAAACCAGAGCTCTAAGACAGGCAAATTCAAAAATTATTTGATCATTAAAACCAATAATTGTTAACAATTTATTTATCTCATCTATACATTAAAGTTTATATTATTCTAAAACTCAGATGAAAATCTGTCAGAGANAAATGACCTTTTTCTTAGGTAATAAGAGTAAAATACTGCATATTTTTTAAACAAACTTACGCTTTCCTCCACACTTTCTTTGCATCAACCGTATCATGTGGTCCCGAATCTTTCTTTAAATCAACACTCTCTTCATCTGATTCCCTATCTTTGTGTGAATTAGGATTACTGGAAAATAAAAACTTTTAAACTATAAAACTTTTTATAAATGCTTTATACTGTAACAGAAATTTGATAATGTTTTTTTGTTTTCCTAATTATTAGTTGTATTTACAAGCAGACAAATATTCAAATAGGTTGTGCCTAATTAATAATAAATTAATAAAAATCTTTGGCAATAAGACACTGACTCTCATTAATTATAATTTATATTTTTAGAAATAGTCTAACCAATCACTAAATAATAAATTCAATTTTTAAAGCTAAAAAACTACTTTAATTGTAGAATCCTAAGGTTCCATGGAACACAAGTTGGGAACCACTGTTCTATATGAATTTCTTTAGTCATTGGAAGTAGAAAGTTGTTAGAGATACAAAACTATGTTTATAAACACAACTTACATTATATATTATACATTCAAACAAACCAAATAAATATACATAGATGTGGAATTTTCCTAAGCCAACTCTGGTTCTGTCTGGTCTCAATCCACTGTCGAATAGCTTAACAAAATAAAATGTACACAAATAATCATTCTCAAATGATTGATATTCAATATGGAATTCTTTACTACATCAAAATGGCATTGCCATATCATTATAAAGATTTATTATTGTTAAATGAATTAATATAATTGTATAAAAATCCAATTATTAAATAATAAATTCAATTTTTATTCCATTTTATAAAATTATTTGTAAATCAGGAAAAATTGCAAATACAATTTTTAAGAATATAAATATAAAAGATTTATAATATATAAATTATTAATACTGAATAATCTGACATTAGAATGAGATTATAAAATTTGTTAAATACAAATTAATTGAGAAGGCACAAACTAACTTTTTATGAAGAAATTAATTTTTATTAAATTATTACAAAATATATTTTAAAAAATACTGCATTTGAAGACAAATACAAAATAAAATATTTTAAACATCTTCTCAGATGTCTCTTTTTCAAGCCAAGAAACACAATTAAAACTATGGCAGAGTTGATCTTTTCTTGTAGGTTCTTATTATGTTTTTTGTAACTGTACAAAGTAACATTTAGAACAACTGTTCTTAGCAATGTAGTAAATACTGTACTTTTGTCTGATTAAAATTATGAAAATAAATGAATATAATGAAACAAGTCAAAAACTCCAAAGATTAAGTATTAAGTAAACAATTTAAAAGATTAAGGTATTAAGTAAACAATTTCAATGGAAGGAAGGCTTATATTTTGTTACAATTGGATTTGACTTGCATTACGTTTCAAAATTAAACTATCTTATAATAATATGTGCACATAATTTTATAGTATTGTTAAAAATTCATTTGCATTGTTTTGTATATACTGGGCATTCCATAAGTCTGGAACCATGGGAATTACATCAATCTTTAGTTCTTCTTTTACAGGTAGAACATGGTGGAAAAACAAATTTAAATTATTTTGATAGTGAAGACCCACAGTCACTAAAGCAACCATCAAAAAACTGGAAGTTATTTTTCTTTATTTATTACCATGCTTTACCTGCAAGAGAACAAACAAAGATCGACATAACTTCTTGTGGTTTATGGGATGCCCAATATATGAAATATTGCTTTGAATGCAAATAAGTAGATATGATTATAGAGAAATCAAAACTAATTTCAATTTGAAAAAACTAATTTTGAATCAAGATATTTATAATAATCAGAAATATCTTCATTCAAAAATTTAATAAGAGAATGTAATTATACTTTCCTAATAATAACTGAAATATTCAAAATATTTTCATATTCTTCAGAAATCATATTTGTATTGAAAAGGAAGGAATAATTTAAACAGTTAATAATTAAAGAATAAATTGACAATTCTGAATATATTCATATCAAGCACAAAAAAAACTATATCAAAATAATTATCTACAGCTAATTTTTATTATAACTACTGATTTTTCAAATTCAAACAAATTCATATTTATAATTATAGATCTGAATAGCTGTACTTTTTAAATTTAGTTAGAAGTCTTTGTATAAAACCAAGGAATTTAGTAAATTTGATTAAGAAATTTCAGAATAATTCACGAGAAAGATATTTTTTAACACTTAAAATAAATTACTTCAAGAAATCAAATTGCTATTTTATTAAAAATGTTTTTGATTAAAATACCAAGTGTTATTTAGGTTANATATTTTAAAAAATAATAATCGTCACTATTGTATCGTTAAAAATTATTTTAAAATTATTTTATTGTTCACAAAACAAACAACCACTCATAATTAAAAAATTAAGTCTCGTTTAAATACTGGCCTCCCTTCAATGGTCGAAGCGATGTTGCCAGCTAAAACACGCAAAAATTTAACAAAAATAATATTAAAGTAGCCAAGACATAGCCAAATATTGTAGCGCCACATCACTAACAGACATTTGAATTTGCCGACTAGAACGCGGTCGGTTAACCGAGGTGACGGTTAATCGGGGGTCGGATAATCGATGCTCTACTGTGTATACAAGAGCTTTAAGAAAATTTTTGAAAACTAAAACAGTAACATTTAAAAAAAAAAAAAAAATATGAGCTTTCAAAGAAAACTTAAGAAAAATGCTTTCTCTGAATATCAGATAATTTCTATATATACCAAACAGCATTTATGCAAGATGCTCAATAAAATTCATTTTATTAAGTACAAGATTAATGAAATTTTTTCAATTATGTCACTTTAAGTTGTTTTAATGTAAAAGTGTTTCATTTTTAAAACACTATTATAACAAAATTATTTAAAGTAATTAAAATGTATTTTTATTTTCTTTTGTTTAATTTCTAAGGTTAGGTTAACAGAAGTTCATACAATATATGTAGTAAAAATTTATATTAAAAAAAAATTAGCCTAATAATATCAACTTCCATATCTGTTTGTTCTTTTCCTCAGAGATTAATTTATTCTGATGACTACAGACATTCCATTTAACATGTTCTTAATAAAAATATTCCTCATTTTAAAGTATTTAAACTGTTATCAGATTTTTTCTTTATAATATTTATAGTCTAATTTTTCATTTGAGTTAATTTTTAAATTTTTTTATAATAATTTTTTCAAGTGATATATAACTACAGTAGAACATCGATTATCCGACCCCTGATTAACCGACCATTCTAGTCGGCAAATTTCAAATGTCCGCTAGAGATATGGCATTACAATATTTGGCTATGTCTTGGCTACTTTAATATTATTTTTGTTAAATTTTTGCGTGTTTTAGCTGGCATCAATGGCTCGACCATGAAAGGGAGGCCAGTATTTAAACGAGACTTAATTTTCTAATTATGAGTGGTTGTTTGTTTCATGAGCAATAAAATGATTTTAAAATATTTTTAATGATACAATAGCAACGATTATTATTTTAAAAAAAATTTGTTAGGCTAAACATCTATGAAAATTCAATGCGAAGTAGGTTAATAGCAATATACTAATAAACTAATTACATGGGATATACTAATATCCTAATATACTATACTAATAATGTATTTTTTTCCTTCTTTTCGGTTATCCGACCAACCTGAGTCCCCAATTGAGTCGGATAATCAATGCTCTACTGTATATGTAGGAAAATAATAAATCTCTCTTTTCTGATTGTTATTTGACTAGAAAATTATATGTTCTTCTAACTTATATGTGTTTTTCACATAATAAAATTTCAATATAATTTCATTACTTTCATGTTGTTATAACATTTTGCTGTAAGCAGAAAGGGGCATGTATGCACTCAATCCATTTTAATATATTGGGTTGGCCAATAAGTTAGTGCATTTTTTTTAGGTGAAAATAAAAATCATTTTTTTTTAATAGAAAATAAAATTGTATTCAATAATATATTCACCATTTTTATTAAGTAAATTTCGCTATCTTTTGGGGAGCTTCATAATACCTATTTAAAAAACTTCCTTTTTTAGTATGCTCTACTATAGTGGTGAAATGCTTATGTTAGGACTTTTGTCCATCTGTCAGATGTCCACGTGCATGCGCGATGACTTCACTTTCATTACCTAAGTGTTATGTTCCATTCAATCCATTTAGATTCCAAGAATTTATAAAATTTATTTTAAACAAAATTAATATTTGATTCGCTTTTGTGCAGCATGCTGTCATATCGGCTTGACCAAGCTTGTTTTTTTGGCAAAAAACTGTTCCATGTGCCATTTTACATCATCAGAAATGAAGCACTGTTCATTTAAAGAATTTTGAAGGGAGCGAAACAAGTGATAATCAAAACGGACAAGGTAGGGTGAATATAAAGGATGAGGTACGACATCCCAGTCAAGCTCTAACAATTTTTGCTTGGTTTGCAATGACACATGTGGCCAGATGTCATCACAATGGAAGACGATGCCCTTGTGATTCACCAATTCTGGCACTTCTCCAGAATCAATGCATTTAATTTGTCCAGCTGGTCACAGTATATGTTGGAATTGATCATTTTGTTTTTTGGAAGCAGTTCATAAATGAAAGCACCTTTCCAATCCCACTAAATCAAGAGCATGACTTTCGTTGGATAAAGTCCAGCTTTTGAAGTAATTTGCAGCAGTTCACCATGCTTTCCCCCATGACTTTCACTAAATTTGTATGGAATCCTAAACATCCAGCTTGCTGACATATGAAGTTGATACAGATGATTTTCCACAATTGATTTCAATATTTGAATAATATCTGCAATCTCCTGCTCATATGGCATGGATTACTATCAACTACAGTAGAGCGTCGATTTTCCGAATCAATTGGGGACTGGGGTTGTCCGAATAACTGATTTACGTACGAAAAAATAGTTTAACATATCGGATGTCGAAATTTTTATCCGTTGCGTATCGCTTCGCGTTGAATTTTCGTCGATGTTAAGCCTAACAAAGACTATTGTATCGTTAAAAATTATTTTTTTATTTTGTACAAACAAAATAAATATATTGAAAAATATGAAAATAATAAAAAATTATACTTCAGATGTTAATTTAGTATCAAAAACGTAAAATATTTGAGTAGCCCAAGACAGC